CCCCAAAAACCCCAAAACCCCAAAACCCCAAAACCCCAAAACCCCATTCGCCTTAAAAATATAGAATTTTGTTGGCTGATAATTAATATTAAATGGAAGGAGGTAAGATATGCAGATGGGAAAGGGGAGAAGAGGGGGATGGAGGGTTGGGGGAAGGGGATTGGGGGTGGGAGGAATAAGTTTTAGAAAATTGGGAATTTTAGGGTTGGGAGGGGAGATAGAGGTGTTTGAGGGTGTTTGGTGAGGCTGGAAATGGATTTTGGATATAGGGGTGGGTGGTAGATTTTTGGGGTAGAGGAGTGGTATAGGGTTTAATAGAAAGGATTGGAAACTTGTTGATGTTTTTGTGAGATTATTTCTTTATCTTTGAAGAAGGAGCTCTTTTAAGCTTGATATAAATAGTGTAATTTAGATTCTCCAAACAAAAGCTTTAACAACTCAAACAGAAGCTTTAATAACACAAACAAAAGGAAGAAGAAGGGAAAAAGGAGAGGCAAGAGAAATACAACAGTAGGCTTATCAAACTAACCTAAAGACTGTAGTAGTCACCGGAGAGTCTCCAACGAAAAATAGAGATGAAAAGAACAAAGCTCATACTGAAGATCATCCATCAAGCCAAGGAGAAGAAAGCAAGGATAAGATTGAGAATCAGACTCCTACATCTTCTGATGCTCAAAATGATAGCATCGCTAGATCAGAAGATGCTACTCCTGTTTCACAAAAGGAAGAAGTATCCAAAATTGATGAGAACGCTCAAGAAGAAATCAACGAAGCAGTCAGGTATTTTTCATAATTCATTCCAAAATATTTTCTGGATTCTAAAAAGATTTCTGAATTTTCTTAAACAATTCATTACTCAGAAAATCCTCAAAATTAATGAGTCTATCCTTCTCTATAAAACCTGAAGTGTTCGATATTCCCTCTTGAAGCTTATATCTTATACATCTTTAGAGAATTAACCGGTAAAGAAAAAGTTGATGAAGAACACCCGGAAAACAAAGAGCATTCAGAAGACAAAGACCATAAGTCTGAACAAAAGAACGAACAGGTTTCTCAAGAAGAACCTGTTGAACCAGAGCCAGTGCAAGAAGAAGTCAAAGAAGAACAGCAAAAGGAGGAACCGCAAGAGGAAGAACAGCAAGAGGAAGAACAGCAAGAGGAAGAACAAAAAGTAGTAGAGCCTCAAATAGAGGAGCCTCAAGAGCAACCCCAAGAAGAACCAAATGAGGAGAAAGAGCAAGAAGAGCAGGAAGAGCAAGAAGAGAAGGAAGAGCAAAAAGAGCAGGAAGAGCATGAAGAGCATGAAGAGCAGGAAGAGCAGGAAGAGCAGGAAGAGCAGGAAGAGCAGGAAGAACCTCAAGAGAAACCACAGGAAGAACCTCAAGAGAAACCACAGGAAGAACCTCAAGAGAAACCACAGGAAGAACCTCAAGAGAAATCACAGGAAGAACCTCAAGAGAAACTACAGGAAGAAGATAAACAAGAGAATCAACAAGAACTTGAGACTAAAGAAGAACAAGAGCAAAAACAAGATGAGCTAGATGTGAAGGAAGACCAACTTGAAGAAAAACAAAATGAGGTAGAAGATATGAAGGAAGAAGAGCCAGAGGAAGTAGAACAAAAGGAAGTTAAGCAAGATGAGCCTGAAAAAGAGAACAATCAAGAAAAAGATCAAGACCAAAATCAAGATGAAGCTGAAATTGAAGACAAGCAGCTTGAAGAAGAGAATAATAATGATCAAAAAGAAGGAGAAAGATTTGAGAAAAAGGAGGAAATTAAGGAATCAAATGAGAATAATAATGAGCTAGCTGCAAAAGAACCAGCTGCTGAAGAGCCAGCTGCAGAAGAGCCAGCTGCAGAAGAGCCAGCTGCAGAAGAGCCAGCTGCTGAAGAACCAGCTGCTGAAGAACCAGCCTCCGAAGAGCCAACCCCTGAAGAATCAGTTAATGAAGAGCCAGCTTCTGAGAAGCCATCTCCTGAAGAGCCAGCTAATGAAGAAGTCAAAGGAACAGAAGTAGTAGAACCTGTAATACAGAAAGATACTATTGAGATACCAAAAGGTCCTAGTATAGATTCTTTAATTAAATCTACTGAAAGCCGTTTATCTGGCCCTCCAGAAGAATTAGAAGTTGAAGACTCTAACACAGTAAGTAAGGAGCCTGGAGAAGTATCTGAAAGTATTGAGAACGAATATGATATCATCAAGAGCCAGGGGGAGGGTAATGCGCAGTCTACTTTTGAAGAAATCAAAAAGGATGCCCTTAAAGACTCCCAGCAAGAACCAAAGCCAGAAGAGTGAGAAGCTGAAGAGCCACAACCAGAAGAAGATCAGCCTGAAGAGCCCCAGCAAGAAGAAGCTAAAAATGAAGGAATCCAAAATGAAGAAATTAAGGTTGAACCAGAACAAGAAACTAATGTCCAGGCCAATCTTGAGATTGATGAAGAAGTTGTTGATGAAGAAGTTGGTGATGATGGCCAGAAAGTCAAAGAAGAGACTAAAGAAGAAGCACCAGCCGAACCGACAGAAGAAGAAAAGGTAGGCTTAATTCACTTATTTCTACCCAAATCTGGCTAGATAGTCTAACTAGAAATATAGAAAATCAATGAGCTTCATCAAGTTCTCTTCAAAGCAGATGAGCTCAAGCAAGAAGGCAATAATTTGTTCAGAAAATCTTCTGGAGATGCTGAAGAAAACTGCAAATTAGCATTGCAGAAATATAACGACTCATATAGAATCTTGAGTGTAAGGGGAAATGATTTCATGCAAACTCCTGCTTTGATAGAAATATACAGAGATGCTATGAGAGCTTCAATGATGAACTGTGCAATGATGATGCTTAAATTAAAGCAGTACCAGAATGCTTTAGATATGCTCAAATTTACCAGTGAGTTCACTACCTCTCCAGAGCACATCCAAAAACTGAAATATAGAATGGGATGTGCTTATAATGGACTTGGCAATCATCAAGAAGCTTATAACATACTTGAAGAAACTATTAGCAAAGGTTCGAAAGACAAATTGGTAAAAATGGAGCTAAGTAAAGCTAAGAAAATGCTTGGTCAAGAAAAAACTACTCAAGACCAAAAAGATACCTATGCAAAGATGTTCAACCCAGATAAAAGAAAAGAGATTGAGAGGAAGAGAACTGAAGAGAAGAAAGAGGCCTCCCAAAAAGGAGATAAGTCAGTTGTTGAACCAGAGAATAATAATGATGACAACGGTAAGCTTATATACTCACTATTTTAGGTAATAACTTCCTTCCACTCATTTTTGGTGCAGTAGCATTTGCTGGAGTTGGATTCCTAGTTTATAAAGCACTTAATTCTCGTTAAAATATATTTACCAAGCATTTCAGCTTTAGAGATTAACGGCGGGGTTTTGGGGTTTTGGGGTTTTGGGGTTTTGGGGTTTTGGGGTTTTGGGG